ATTCTACCAACTGAGCTATATCCCCAGCCTGATACATATTTTTATCAATATTTTTTTACTAAAAATATTTAGCATTTTTTGTCTTTATAGTGTTCCATTGTTGTTTTCTTAAAAAGATCGAAGATGGTCTCTTGAGGCTTAATTTCAATTCTTAAATTTATGTGGTTCTCTCTCACAATATAGAAACATTATATTGTCAGAATGCTCCCTGAAAAATTGTTTTAGTCACTTGGCTTCTGTTTCCCTTCACAATTGATATGACTTCATGCAAAATGATGCAGCCACTCACATCATTCTGTCAGCCCCCATCAAGGAAATATTGTTTTCCAAAATTAAAATTGTGAATCAACTCACAGGAGGATGTTGTCAAATAAACAAAGAATCATCACTTATATTGCACTGCCAACTTTTTGATAAGCTTAATTCCTCTAAATGCATTTAACTTTAATGAAGAGTAATACAATTTAATAACAACATAAAGTGGAATCATTTATCTTCCTGGTTCTAGACATTGGGCAGATGTCTTCTGCTTAATACATTGCTTCAAGATGCAAAAGTTCATTCCTTCTTCAGATTTGTCTCTCCTTATTTCTCTCTCTCTCTATATATATATAGTTTGGAAAGTGATCTGTATGTGCATGCATAATTAAATCACTTATTAGGCCATAGAATTTATAGTTGGAAATCTCTGGGATTTGTTGTTTCAAGTTCCTGAGGCAGTGATATTTACATAACCCTATAAAATTTGGTAATTATTAGTATATTATTCAGGATCATTTCAGTTGAAAGTGACATAAAACCAAATTCAAACTGACTTAAGCAAAAAAGGAAATTTACTGGCATTTGTAACTGGGGAAACCTAAGTTGGGATGCTGGTTTCAGGGGCTCAGATGAAGGGACAGGGGCCTCTCTTCAGCTCCTGGCTTGCTTTCCATTTTGCTACTGTCATCCTCAGGTAATCTCTCTCCTTACAGGTAACAAGGAAATATTCATTAAGCAACACAGTAAGTGTTGATATAGGTTGACCTTGGATGTTTACAAGTGGGGAAAGGGGTTTCAGCTGAACCTAAACTGGGATTTAGAGTGTGCCTCAATGTCTATTTTGTGATATGCTTTATTTTCTGTTTATTCAAATTAATTAATTAATTAATTAATTAGGCTTATGCAGAGATTTTGTTAAAAGGCTGCTGGGAAGAGGGCAAAATGGGAGCTATGGCTTATATAGCCTTGGGTCTAAGTTATAAGAGGGTGAAATAGTTGCTTTTTTACAAAGAACTTCATAAAAAAATTATGAAGGGAATGTAGCACGACCTTGGTGCACTATAGATGTGATAGCTTTGCAGCTATGTCGCTGAAAGACAAGATGGCATCTCACAGAGAAGCAGTGATGAGTGTAAAGGCTATAGTTTCTTCCTTGAACATCCTCTGGAGACTCCCAGAGATACTTGGGTCCCTGGGGCTCAGAGCCAGGGAATTGTGCTTATAGAAATGGTAGACTTAGCCCTTTTTTTATGGAGAGTCTTTTAATTAGTTTTATGGGATAAACTGCTAGACCCCAAATGGTTTCTTATTGGGAGGAAAGCAATACAGAGCACATTACCAGTGTTGAATCAGGATAAATGAAAAGATTCAAGAAAATAGGGTATTGTATGTTGACAAATATTTCAATTTGATGATACTCTAAAATAGGCAACTTATATAGAAAGTCAGTGGTTTCAAAATAGGATGTTTCTCATTTACTGCCTATCAGAAAGCCAAATGATTGCTTTGTATGGGCTTCCAAAGAGAGCACCAGTACTGGAAGAGTACCGTTACAAATAATTGAGCAACATTGATTCCTCACATTGAGAATTGAACATTACTTTTCTACGTACATATATGAATACACGAC